AAACGGCTGGTGCCCAGCCCCGCTACTGATGAGGGCAATCCAGCCGTGAGCACTCCCCCGAAGCAGAAGGTGAAGGAGCCGGGGACACAGCCCCTGGGGAAAGCGAAGGCCACCAAGCATTCAAAGCCAGGGCAGGCTGGTGGCTTGGGCGTACGTGACAATGTGCCGGTGATCCCTGCCAGCGCGGCCGCGGCTCCTCCGGGAGAGGCATGCCAGGAGGTGTCGCAGAAGCCTCTCCATCCCAAGAGCGTGGCAGCTTCTGGAGGGGATGCTGCTGAGGGAGCTTATGAGGAGCCTGCAGCTGAGACCCCCAGGGAGCTGGGGCCCCCTTGCTTTGCAGCCGGAGCCTCTGCAAGGGCAGACACCCTGGACGTGACTTGGCCTGAGATGTACGACTATTTGTTCTGTGACTCCCAAGGGGAAGAAGAAGGAATGGAGAACTCAGTGGAGGGGGAGAAAACACCTTTGGAAAGGGAAATATCCTTGCCTGAACTGTATGAATATTTATTCAACGAACCAGAAGGAAACAGGAAAAAAGTCAAGGGTAAAGACAGGAAGCGAAAGAAGTTCAGCAGCGTGGACCACACTCAGCTGCAAAATGAGAATCCCGACTCATCTCCAGTCAAAGACTCCCTGGTTATCTCAGTCCCTGAGGTGTATGAACACTTCTTTCCAGACAGGCCTGGGAACAGGGTGGGCTGGACAAGGATTTTCTCAATCACTCCATCTTCCGAGGTGAAGAGAGCTGTGGGGGCTTTGAAGTCCCTCCTGCAAAGTCCAGTGCATCTCATCAGAGGCCAAGCCCCAACCCCCCAGGCTCTCGTGCGGAGAGGATCTGGAGAGAAGCTCCCGCTTGTCCCTCTGGCTCCGCTGGGAAGAGGCCAGATGCAGCCAGAAGGTTTGGACATGGCCCTTGCACTGACAGGTAAAGCACCGTTACCCCCTGCCCGCTGCAGAAGAGAGATGTGCCTCTGCCTTGGGTGGTCTTCCCCGCTCCCACCACCCCTCAGGAAGCCTGGCAGCCAGCTCTGGCCCTGCTGCAGCCATCTCCACTCCAGACACAGTGTCTTTAAGGCCGCCTTACAGATGGGAGCCTTTCGGTGGGCTCTGCCAGGTGTAGCCGGTCTGAAAGCACACTCCTGGCACATTCAGCTTGCCACGGAGCAGCCCTGGGCTTTAGCAGGGAAAGCGTGGCCAAAGCCACCGCCACGACGTGCTGTGTCACACTGGCCCGCTCGTGTGATGCTGGCCGGGCCCCACAGGCTGGCTCCTAGCGCTGCAGGAGACGTGGACAGGGAATCTGGGTATATTCTGTGCATAACTTGCTTTGCTCCCCGCCAACTCCAGTCCTGGGGCAGAGGCGGTCATGGCAGCATGCATGCCACAGGCTGAAAGTCAGTCTGGCCTGAAGTCCCTGTCCTAGGTGATTCAGTTGTCCTTCTGAATGGGTATAACTTACTGTGGATCTACCCTATTCTTTTGCACTCTGGCCAAGGGAAACTTGCTGAAGCGGAGAGCTGCGTTAAACATGGCTGGTGGTATTGCAAGGTCTGGTAGAGATAGGAATCCCCCACCCTAGTGCCATCCAGCTGCCTGCAGAACCACCTGCCTATATTTCTGATGGCAAGCAGAGCAGCAAAATCCTCTGTACCAAAGAACTCGTGCCCCTGAGAAAAGGTTGAGCTGCTGTCCTGTTAAGGCTGGGCTGATAATTGAGCTAATATTGGTGGGGGAGAAGGTGTGCATGGAATGGAACATGGCCAAGGCTTCCAGCTGGAAGAGGTGAAGGGGGACTTTAAAACTCAACGCTAATTTGAGAAACACCCTCCAGAGACCTCAGAGGTTGTCTGAACATGGGCTGTTACTGGAGGCAGCTAAGAGAAACAGGAATAGAGCAAATCTGACCCACTAGGACAGCCAGCGTATTTATCTTAAAGCTTATATGATGCTTACAGCCGCAGTGCCTCATAGATAATATTAAAACCAAACAATGAGTGAGTCATCCCAAAAGGTGCCTCAAAATAGAGCTTCCAGTCTGTTTGCACGGGAGAAAAACCCCTTTGCCATGGTCGTAGATAATTAATAAGCCAACTTTAATTAAAAGCCTGATCAAATAAACATAGGAGCAAAAATAACCTACTCTTGCAACACATCTTCAAGTTGTGCCAGGCTGGAACTCCAGCAGAGAAAGAAACGCGGAGCCCTCAGGGCTGTCTCCCTCCCTGGACCTTGCAGGCGGCAGGAGTGAGGTGGGATCTGCAGAGAGATGCTGAGCACTGGTGCTTCTCAGGGGTGTGCGTCTCAGGGCATTGTCTTGCAGGAAGGGGACCTTGTCCAGAGGAATTGCTTCCACCCCAGGAATTGCTCTCTCCTCGTTCTGTTCCCCAGATCCACTTCCAGCCACCACATAGGGGTGTGCTGGGAAGATATGCAGGGAGGCGGTGAGGAGGTCAGAGGTCCTGGAGGCACGTGGCTGCTGGCTGTGCCTCCCAGGCCCATGGGCAGCATTAATAAATATTTGCCTCGGGCTCTTAACAAAGTGTAAAACTGAGAGGGGTGAAAAATGTGCTCCTCTCCTTAGGAAACGTACCCGAGTCCTAAATAGACGTGTTTGACTTGACCAACGGTGAAAAAAGGTCTTCTGGGAGGGAAAATGGGTGACAAAGATGTATTTCTCTGGGGAGTGCAAGGGACTCACTGCCCCAGAGGAATTGAAGCCTGCTGTGGTAGGGGACGCATTGTAAAACCCTAAGCCTTGTGCTCTTCTTCTTGCAGGGAGGCCCGAGGCTCCGCTGGCGCTGACCCACAAAGACATGTGCCTCGTCTTCTGTGCCTTCGCATCCTGGGCAGTGAAGACCTCCGACCTGCAGGCTCCGGATGCCTGGAAGACCAGTACGTACAGTACCCAGCCTGGCGGGAGAGGGGTGGGAAAAACCTCGAGGAAGACAGGGCAGGGAGAAAGGCAGGGATGCTAACACACCTAACGGTGCCTGTGGGAAAATGCAGTCATTTTCCTGCTTTTCCAAAGTGTCCCGTTACTTTCTAATACCTTCTCTCTCCTATAGAAATGGCAGTCCTGATTCCTACTTTCTTACGTTGTCCTTTCCCCACACAAAGTGACTGCTGACTTGAACGGAGCCGTAGGACAAGGCTGTACTCCTAGCTTTGGCCCCGCTCCATCCAGCCTCTGACAGGGACCAGTACCAGTGTGTCAGGGGAAGAGAGGCTTCTTTAGGATCCCTGCTGGCTAGAAGCTGAATCAGGACCTCGAGTATGCAGGTTTAGACTCCTTCATCTCAGCTGGAACACATTTTTTTTCCTAATGTGCTGTAAAGGTATAATCTTTTTGCTAAATACAGCTTAGCTGGAGTATTATCCTGGTGCACTGAGTCCTGCAAGTACACGGAGCTCTGACAGTTCCTCTCCTCTCCAACCACAGCATTTGAATAACTGGTGCGGAGAGAGGAAGCTCGGGCAACATGAATTAGCTGAGCTGTGGCTCAGGGGGTGCGAGTCGCTGGATGAGCCAGGCATGGGACCCCTGGCTGCAGCAGCCGAGTGTGGGGTCCAGCCCACGGGCACTGGAGAGCCCCTGTGATGGGGTGAGATGCCGGGGCCAGGGCTTCCTGCTGTTTGTCCGGGGGTGGAATGTTCCCCACTAAGGTCACACAGGAAGCTGACACCCTGGGCTGAGAATAGCTCGTTAGCTAAGGTTGCTCAGGCAATCATCACAAGGAGCTTTTGGCCTGCTCCTGCTTGCCTTCTTAGTATTAGACGGTAGACGTGGCTTCAGAGAGGGTACAAAAAGCGGGATATGGGCCCCGTGCCCTCAGGATTGCATAACCCAGCGTGCGGCAAGCACTGGCCAGGAGGGGAGGTGAGAGACAGTCTGACATCCTGGACTAGCAGTTCTCTTTTTCTGGCTTTTTAGGGTCTAACAAGTTGAATTTCCCTGTCTATGTCCCAAGCTAAAACACGTAAATCAAGACCAAGTCGGAATTTAAACTGGGAAGTCCAAAGGCGTGGCTTGGGTTCCCAGTTTTGCCTGGGCACAGATCAAGGGAATTTGACCTCTCTTATAAGCCAAGCCAAAAACATTCGCTGAAAATACAGAGAAGAGCTTGATGCTGTGTGTAATCTCCATTAGCTATTTTTCATATCTCTACATTTTCTGATTCTGGGTTTGGGGTATTTTCTTCTTTTTGGCTGGGATCAGGGTATCCACAGACAACCACAAAATGATATTTTTCTTGGCATCTTCCTGGTCCGAACAGAAACAGAAAATGAAGGGACTGTCCTGAAGCCCTGGTGAGATTTCCTACTGTGGCCCTCTCAGACCCATTACGTCTCCACATGAACCTGTGTATCTAACCACCCCCCCATCTCTACCACACGCATGACGTCTGTGTTGCGTTTCCCTGAAAAACCAGCAGTTTCTTGTGAAATGGTGGTGTGGTCTGTGTGCCCAGACTACAGGACTAGATGTGGTCAGCCAGGCTGTGGGCAGCTCAGGACTGAATGCTCTGGGAACAAGCACAGCATGGTGGGGATGAAAAGCGAAAGCAGGAGGGGACTGAGAAAGGGAGGGGAGTGACCCCCTCTAGGTCCCATGGACCAGAGTGAGCCAAGTAGCTTGTGATCTTCAAGTTTGGAAAAAGATCTTCAGGTTTGGAAGAAGCACCCAGACTCACTCTGGAAATGTGTTGGGCTCTTTTCCAGTGTTCCTGGCAAGTTTTGGCACGCTTTCTGCCATCCGCTACTTCCGAAGGCAGGTCAGAGAAGGACACCTCCGGACCTAGTCTCAGCGCACACCAGAGATGCTTCCCGAGGACAGGCGAGGACAGTGGAGGCAGAGGCCGGGGATTTTGTTCTTGGGCAGTGCGAGAAGCCTGGAGCCCAGCACCAAGACTTCTCTGGACCCATCCCTAAACGGGACAGGACATCACAGGAAGCAGGATCCTTCCGGTGACAGTCATTTACGACACGGTAGGCAGTTTGTACCTGTACTGGACAGGAGAGGAGCCCAGCGTGGGCTGGCTCTCTTCTTTCTTTGCACACTTCTTGCATACTTGTGCTATCTCCTAGGAGTAGTCACGGCGTCTGTTCCAGGGCGCTGCTTGTCCGTCCTCCCTGCTGAAGTCACCTGGTGGCAAAGGAAGGCACTGAGGTGGTGGAGGGAGGAAAGAGCAAAAGAAACCAGGAAAGTGCTTCGTTCCTATGAAAGGGTTGGGGTATACGTGAAGGAAGAGAGGAGAGAGCTTTGGGGAAGAGCTGCCTCTGTCCAAACATGGCGCTTTGCTAAGCGTCTGCTGGCTGCACGTGGCCAGCAGCTCAAGGGAGATGGAGGGGCCACTCACTTGGCAAGGGCCACGTCTCCCATGACCGGTCTGGCTCACTGCAGGAGGAGTCATCCTCTTGCACGTCACTCCAAGAAGTCACAGCTTGGTCTAACGGTTCAGGAGGCTGAGATAAGGTTCTGCTGGATGTGGCCGCCTCAGCCCTGCTGACCCAGAGCTGCGGGTGCGGTGTCTGTCCCTGCGGGTGAGGAGCACCCGCTGCAAGGACACATCTTGCTCCCGTAGGCAGAGGACGGGCAGGTGTCACACAGCCAGAGCCAGGGGAAGGGGCAGCCAGGAAGGGCCCTGCAGGAGGCTGCACGGGACAGAAAGGGGTTGCAGAGGCAGCAGGGAAAGGGTCTGAGCTCACGGAAGCCTCAGGAAAGAGCCCTGACAAGGACAGGGGCATGTTGGATGGGAGGAAAAGGTACGTGTACATGTTTAGCTCTGACCCTCACCAGATGAAGGGTCTAGGTGTATCACTTGTTCCCTTCGCTGCCTCCCGTCCTAGAGACATAGAGTTGGCTGGGAGGAGATGTCGAGTGAGGAGGTGCCGTGGCTGAGTGTGTAACCTTGTGGGGCTGGAGGGGACCCAGAGGGAAGGTGAGGTGAAAAATGAAAAGGAAGGGGTTCAGGTTCTTCCCTGTCTCTAGTGCCTTCCTGATCACTCAGGGGCATTATTCGTGAGGGTTCTTCTTCACTCCCAAGTCTGATAACAGCACGAATGTGAGATTTGTTAAGCATTTAGGGACCAGACCCACAAAGGTACTGGGGGGAAATCTGCCCGGAAAACCTGTGTGGATCTGCCTATGAGCTTTATAGGAACAGGCTGTGGCAATGTTTGTCTCACGAAACGAGAAGAGGTTTAGCTCTTTCCTTGTAATGCAGAGTGCCATGCAATTTTAATGTGTGTGGGGTTGTACTTAAGACCATGTATTATTGCTGATAAGAGAGCACACTGCACAACTGTCCAGTGAGATATGTAGCAGTAAATAGCAAGAGAGAGAGATGTACAGGCTCTATATGGACTATAGTAGCTGTATATCCAGTAAGAGGAGTTTTGTGGAGGAGGAGAACAGCTAAAATATGCTGGAAGCTTCTAATAAAGATCTATCTCATTTAACACTTTTGTGTACATTCCTGTGTCTACATTATGTGTGAAACGTTGAATGAATACCGAGTTTTAAAGAATAAGACATCAATCCATTATGTGGCTGTTGATACAAAACTGTAGGAGTTGGTGTGCTGGTTGAGGAGCCCTGGGGGACAGAGTATGCAGGGAGATGGGCTGCTTCTCCTCTTCTCTGGCTCAGTCCCCATGCCTACCCCTCTGAGACACACCTTGGCTGTTGCATGCCGTTAACAGCCCGATGCAGAGACCTCGGTCCTCACGCTTGTCTCAAAAGCCCTTGGGACCCGAGCAGCACCTTGCCAGCCCTCCAGCCAGCTCCTCCCAGGGCCCCCTGAACAGATCAGTGAGCACAAGCCGACGCACAGCAGCAGCTCCCAGCTTCGGTCCATCAATCCTCGTCGCCTCTGCTCTCCCCAGCCCCCCTCGATGCAGCCAAGCTCTCCAGCCTGAGCTGCACCCGGAACGCCAAGCCCTGCAGCCTCAAGCCCTGAAAGGTTTGCCCGGCAGACCTCGCTACCTCCGCCGAGCAGGAGCACGGCAGGCACAGGGGAGGCTGAGGCGTTCACATACGCTCGGTTTTACTGTTTATCCAGCCGTAATCCGTTAAGCGCTCCCCGCGTTCTCAGTGGCAGGTGGAAATACAGCAGCCTTGGCATGGCGGGTGGGCAATGGGGGAACAGCTGGAGGAATCGGGCAATTTCATTAGGTGGGGCTTTCCTGTGGGAGACTGTCGCGTGGAGCTGAGCAAAGCAGAAGAAGGTCAGAGGAGGGCAGCAAACAGGTTCGTTGGAAGGAAGGGGTCTCTGGGGCTGCCGGCTCCTATCTCAGGGGGCTCTGGCTCTCCCTGCCTAGTTCCTCACGCAGCGTGAAGTCCCCCGGGTGAGGGACATGGCTAAATCCTGAACGGTCACCGCTGACTTCTTGTTTGGTTTGATTTTTTCAGGTTTTGTATTTTCTAGCCCTGTCACACAAACCTGGAGGAAATAATGTTTTCCCTTTGTTTTGCAGGTGCAGGAAAAGTTAATTTCCCTCCCAGCCATGTACAGTACTCCCAGGTGCAATTCTGGCAGTTAGTAAATGGCTGCACTGAAAGTCAGGGAATTTAATACTGGGCAAAACGGTTGGGAAAGCTGTTCTGGTTTGTCTCAGTGTCTCAGCGACTGCAAAGTTGGCCTGAAGATCTCACTGGAATTAGGGGAGTCTCTGGCCAGAAACTGTCATGTTGAAGACACTTTTGATGACCTTAGCCCCTCCAGGGAGGTTTGGATGGGGCAGGGCTCTGTGCTGGGATGTGGGGAGTCTGCGTGTACCTATGTCAGCCAGATCTTTTCTTAAGCAATGCCCTTGCCTCTTCCTCATCTTCCCTGGGGAAGCAGTTTTGTTCTCAGCCGCTCTCCACAAGCCAAAGCTGCAGACGCTTGCTGCAACGGGGGTGCTGCCAGTTCAGCTCACTGCTTGTGTGCCTTGAGAGGAATGAATAAGCTCAGTCACTCGAGGCTGGGCTGGAGAACTTCACCGTGAATGTAGAGCTGCTGAATCACTGCCGGGAAGAGACTTGCGTGTCCTCTTCTGCCACCGTTGCTTGAAGGCTCTGTGCACGGTTTTTGCAGGAAGACAACTTGTTCTGCTGCTTGTGGACAGTCAGGCTACAGTTGGAGGCTACTGTCAGCTTTCCTGACCTGCACAGGGCAGATGTGGCACTGACGGGAGGCTGCAGGAGAGCTGCTGGGCAGACAACTCGTTTAGGAGTGTTTTGGGTGCAAGTAGTAATACCAGATACGATCCAGAAAGGAATCAGACCTAGATATGGGTAGCGCTCTGCACTCCCAGTGCCCCACATCCATAGGTTAGCCATGCACAGCCAAAACACTGCATGTGGAGTGGGAAGAGTCCTGGCTGTCCCAGCTTTTCGGGCTGGGAAAGGCACGGTGGCACCAAGCGCCTGTTTTCCCCCTCCGAGGGACACGGGGTATATCTCACTCTCTCGATGCCTCTATCCTAGTGTTCAGAAACTCTTGCTAAGTTTCTTCCTGGGAGAGTTCAATACTCACGTTATGCTGTAGGTAACACGAGGTGCCTGTCACCTCTACCAGCAAGTGCCCTTTGCCTGTCTGTGATAATTGGCGTCTGATCCTTTAGAGCTTGGGCTTGGAGGCGCAAATGTGATTTGGCACCTCCCTCTGCTAAAAGTTACCGAAGGTACCAGATGATCCGTCAGGTTATAGGTGCATTTCACACTCCTTTTGATCTCTACTGGAAGAAGTGGATGAAATAAATATTTCAGAAGATGGATGTTTTCAGCCCGCCGCAGAAGTGAAAGGAAATACTGAAAGATCTTGTCGGTATCAGGAGATCAGCTCTGGGAGTGCCTACTGTGCTCAGCGAAGCAGCAGTGTCTCTAGTGTCCTTCAAGGGAGCCAGCCTGGACTTGCCTGCAATTTTAAGGCTTGGTTTGTTCTCTGACCTTTCAAGCTCGCTCCTCTCCCTCCGTGGCGAGGTCATCTTGCCTGTATCTCACCCCGGAGGGAGGAGCCAGGAGCTCACCATCTTTTGCCATAGCAGCAGCCACCACAACAGAAACGACCTTGTCGGTGCATCCTTGCTGCCGCGAGGCTGTTCTCCCTTCACCACAGAGAGAGTCAGCGCTGGAGGCGGGAGCTGTGCCATCCCACCCCGCTTCTTGGCCTTGCACGTAGCTCCCACATCTGACACCTCCTCGTGCCAAGCAGATGAAAAAGTCAGGCAGGTGCATCCCCAAGAACTGCCTCCGTATTTCATCCGGCCTTGATAACTTCATGTGTCACCCGGCTGCCGGAGTCCCGGCCTGGGAGAGGGACGCGTCTGTCCCCCCTCTTCTGCAGCAATCGCTTTTGCCAGAGCAGCTCCTTCGCTCTTCTTTTTCCTTCCTCTCTCTGCGATAAAACCAGAGCGAAGCTTCCCTTGGACGCTTCCGAGTCACGACTGTCTTCCCCCCGCGCTTCGGGGAGATTTCTGAGGTCTCGTGGTGCTGTGCCAGAGCCAGGAGTGCCAGCACAGGGAGGCAGCGGGCAGAGCCAGAGGGAGCAGTGACCTCCCTCTGATCGAGGACTGATAGAAATGCCAGTTGCTTCAGTCGGCCGGCCACGAGAGCATGACATATTTTGGTGGATTCCCCCACCCACAGGGCAGTGAGGGAGTTGCTCGTCACAGACTGGAGCAGATCCTGCACATCTTCCACTCCAGGGCACTAAGGGAGGCACTGGGTTTTCCGAGCAGGAACGGGGAGCAGGTTTGCCCAACCTCGGCTGTGGTTTCAGGCAGCCGACAGGAAAAGACACGTTCATACAAAGTGCTCACCGAGGAATTCCCAAACCCCAAGTGTCTTTGTAAATACAATAAAAAGATCGGCAAGTCCACGCACAGCACAGGAGTGGGAGCTGGCCGGGTGGGCTGCTCTGCTGCAGCTACACCGTGCCTTCAGTTATGGGTTTTTTTTTTTCTCCAAACTCCTGAAGCCAAAGGAGCAAGTCACAGGCTCCGCTTTTTTTTTTTTTTTAGAAACACCTCTCCTCTGTTTATTCTTTGAGCAAAAGAAGTTTGAAATTGTGGCTTGGAAATCAGAAAGCAGAGAGCAATACAGCAGCCCGTGGTGCTTCAATAACTGCTCTGGTTTTCCAGCTATGGGTTCAGAAGCTGGGGGCCCTGATTTGGGACTTTTACCACTTGGAGGGAGTCGGGGGGGGTGGAGAGATCATTTGTCAGGGAGTGAATTGTTGGCAGCTAGTGTCATCTCATGCCTTTCATCTGTCTCTGTGAATAAAGATGCAGCTATCCTGTGACCAAGCTGAGCAGCGGGATGTGTACAGGCTTGCTGGCAGCTCCAGAGCACGGGGCCCGCATTTTGTGGGTGACCTGCTTCAGACCATGTTTCTGCAGCAGCCAGGCTGTGAACAGCAAATACATTTTTTCAGGAAATGAGAGGTATTTTGTGTGTTTACAGGTACTACAGTTTCCATTTTAATGCAACCTGCACTGAGACATGTAAACTGCTTTAAGTAAACCCTCTATTTTAAAATCCTGAATCTGATCAGAAGGGTGTTGGAGGAAAAGCAAGAGCGTGGGGGTTTTCACGGTCACAAGGCAGGTGTCCATGAACAGAGCTTACAAACACAGCCCTGTTCCCACCCGCTACGGAGCTGCCCAGGTCAGCATCTGGATAGGAAACCATCAGGGGAAAACCAATAGCCAGCAAAACCAATGACTCAACAGGGAAGCCAGGCTGTGCTGAGGAGCTTGAGTGTAGGTCTTGACCAATTTGATGCTTCTGGGGGCTGGTCTGGAAACATTTTAGGGCTTGTACACACAGAGAAATTGCTCTGCATTAATTATGCCAGCCTAGCAAAGCTGTACGACCTTCTAAAGTAGGGACAGCTAGAGGGAAAGCAGGAACAAGTCCTTCTTCTAGGGGAGCTAAACCCAGCTGGGAAAGGGCGTAAGTAAAACTCCTTTAGCTGCTTGTATGGCAGGGGCTGTGTAACCATTTCGGTGGCAGTTTGTTATCACTTAATTCCCACTAGTGGTCAACTGGACAGCAGCACTCAGGGGTGGGATGCTCGGGTCCTGTTTACACCCACAACCCCACTCTCTGTTGGTGCAAGCCCCTGACGGGGCTCACATTTCATCCCGAAACGCTATGTTCTGCGCCGGGCAGCAGCTGGAAGGAGCTACACTCTGCCCCAGAAGTACGGTAGGAACAAGGCAATAACTCGGGGAGAGATGCACGACCACAGCGATGGAGTTCAGGACCTGAAATAAGAGCCAAACAGACCACAGCAGCTGCACACAAAGGCGTGCTGGAAGCGTGAGAAACGAGCAGCCTGCACGTTGAAAGGGCAGCGTTTGAAAGAGTGACAAATTTAGCCCAGATGTAGCCGGGGAGGAAAGTTGCCACTCTGGGAGCAGGTCTAAAACTGCTTTAGAAGCTGTCACGTCTCTGCTGTGTTTTGAAACCAGGATGTCTCGCCTCGCTACTGGTGGCCCCGTGCACGTGTGTGTAACTGTCACCGAGCAACGTGATCGCACGCTGCAGCTTGGGAGAGCTGCTCACCAGGGGACAGATACACCGGGCTTCTGCAGCCAACACATCTACCTCTTGCTTAGTTACTCCGTTTCTTGAGCGGCTCTGGCCGCAGCACAAAGACCTGCCACCTTTCCAAGGGTTAGGGCTTCCCAGCAGCCGCTGCCGTGGGTCGCTGTCTTGCCCAGAGCAGTGTGCTCGGGAGGGCAAGCCCTCTGCCTGCCCTGCTGCTCCCAGCCCAGCAAGATGACTGAACTTTAAACTGAGGGTCAAACCCAGTTCCTCGCTGGAATAACTCCACAGAGGCAGCCAGGGCACCTGGTTTTCTACCCAGAGCAGATGCAGGGACAGAAGTGGCCACAGGCGTCTGGATGCAGTCCTCAGCCCACTCATCAGGACGACACCTCCTTGCCAAGCAAGCCCACGCCGTGGCCAGCTCCCCTTCCCAACTGGCTTTGTTAGAAGAAAGTGGCTGCCACGAAGTGAGGTCAGGCTGACCAAACCAGAGCCGAACCCCGCACCACGTGGCAGCCCGTGGAGGGCTCAGCTCCACACCTGACCCTCGTGCGGGGGCTGGCTGGTGTGTCCCACTTGGTTCACCCGGGTTTACCCCGAGCTGGAAAGCAGACAGCACAGACCGTGCCGAGTCACAGCATGGCACAGGCTTTTCCAGCCGTACAACCGCACGGAGCCGTTTGGAGCCACCGATTTTTACAGAGCACCTTTCCAAGACCCCCAGAACACAGGGCTGAAGCAAAGTCCGATGAGCTTTGGCATTAAACCTCTAGCCAGGTCTCCTTGCCTGACAAACACAGGGGAGACTTTGCTCTAGGATTAGGTGTTGACAAGTGGCTGACCCAAACTAGAGACAGTCAGCACTCTGGAAATCCTCCTGGACCCAGGGCCCCAAAGTCCTCAAGGGAGGAAGGGCTTTGGAAAGGACAGAAGCGACAGCAAAAAATCACCTCCATTAAACCAGACGATGGCAAAGAAAGAGAGAAGAAAAGTATTCCAGAAGTATGTGTATTGCGGTTGTCCAGTCTCACAAAAATCTGCTAGGGAACTTTTACAGCGATAGGAGGGGCTTTTCCCTTTTGATACAGTCAGGTATCACTGTTGAAAACCCAATTAAAAAGATCACGGTGACCATCTTCAAAGTCAACGTGTTCAGAGGAGCTCATGAGCATGGCTGCTTCCCAGCACACTACGTGCTTTTGATGTTCCCTGGTGTAATTTTGTTCTGAATAAATAGATCCTTTTGGGGTTATTAGATACAAATCTTCCCAAAATAAAAGTAAAACTGAAATAAAACAATAACACCTAGAAGATCCAAACCAACACACACACACGAATGTGCAGACAGCTGCCCATTCTACACTACTGAATGTCATCCACAGCTAGAAAATTAAATAGGTCTTCAACTCAGCCACATTTACACATTAAATACATATAATCCACTCGAACCTTGCATGTAAACTTTGTTGGACACCTTCTGAAAAAAAAAAAAAAAAGTACAATGTAATACATAGATATTCAAGTACAAAGAGCTCCCGGATTGTTTTGTTTGCACCAGTGAAAGAACGAAAATAGAGATTTTGTTAACATGTTTGGTTTGCAGCCTCTTCAGGGAACAAAGGTTAAGAATTTGGAGCCTCAGGTAAAAACATTTGGATTTGCTGCTGACCTTATATGTGCTAAAGGATCTGGCCTAAGAGGCTGGAAAAGGATAGCCCTGAGACTCTGTCCCCTGTTGTTTGTGTTCTGGTCTTGCTGCTGCTCTGGAAGGGGGGAAGAGAGAGGTTGCAGCCCACACTGGCATTGCTCTGATCACTGGAGTGTTATGGCTGTACCGGAGTCGGCTTGCAGCGAATTTCCTTCCTTCCCTCCCTGCCTAGATAGTCATAGGCAGCATTTAGTGTGAGCCCAGTAAGGTGCAGAGGGTTGGAAGGAAAGGATGCAGTCCCCTAAGAGGAATCTAGGGCATCCTTTCCAGGGAAGACCTTGGTAAACACAAGCCAATTGGCACATTTGCTGGCAGCACATTGCTTGATTCCACCTGCCAAGGTGTCAGGCTCATAATATTGCAGGCGGCCCCCGTGGTTTGGAGCCAGCACTGGCAGAAAAGAATTTTTTGCATAAAGTGGAAATAACATCCCATTCTGCCCAGATCTGGACTTTTTTTTCTCCATCTCTTGTCAGATAACGCTGATCTTGCAGGAAGACAATCCTCTGAGCACAGCTGTTGCTGCCAACCTTATATACCATGCATGTCTCATGCATCTTTGCAGACTTCAGAGCAAATAGGAGGAAGGTTTGGCTTAACAGCTATTCTCAGGGATCAGCGGATCCTCAAAGTGACCAGCTTGAGGGCTCTGGTAAAAAGGAAAATGATCAAACTAACCCAGCCACCAGCCAGCCCTTTTCTTTGGCCTTTGAGTGACTGCTCTGTCTGAACACCCAGTCTCTTTTATCTGAGGGAGCCTGACCAGCTTTTTGTCCTTCCTTTTATTTTCAGGGGGGCAATGCTTTTCCCCAGCCAGGGCTCCCCGAGCCGGGGCAGCCACAGCGCACGCTCCTTAGCACAGCACACAGGCTGCTCCTCTGGGTCTGCAGAGGCTGTCACCTTTGTGCTTTGCCCCCATCCTCAGATTTAGGGAAGGAGTTTGAACTCTGGACCTGTCAGGACATGGGAACCAGCATTTCTCAGAGCAGCACCCTTCCCTTTGCTTTGTACACCCCAAGGCTCCTCACCCTGGAGGGAAGCCCAGCAAGAAAAGAGCCCGGGGGCTTTTCCTGGGGGGGTCTTTCCTCAGGCCTGGTAAAACTGCTGGCTGGGTGCTGGGGAGGTGTGCAGGGTGCCTGGCTCCTTCGCCTCGGCTTCCCAAAGATTGTCATAGCTGAAGTCGCTCTGGAAGCTCTGGAGCTCGGCATAGTCGTGGTAGGCTGTGGAGTCTGGCAGGTCGTAAGCACCGACGTTCCCATCTGCGGAAAAACAGAGCAAAGCGCTCAGAGAGCTCGCGAGCAGCCCAGCAGCTGCCTTCTCCTTCGTCAGCAGAGAGTACGCACGAGGGTCAGCAAAATCGCAGCCCAGGTGCAAGCAGATCTGGGCAAAGAAGAGAGGAAGTGTGCCGCAGGAGAAACCACAAACCCCAACGCGTGATGGGCGGCCAGAGCCGGCGGGCAGCGAGCGGAAGCCAAGACAACTGCCTCCACCAGACAGAGGCAGGCAAGGGGCAGGGTGACAGACTCGGTCCCACCACGGGGAAGCAGGAGGAAGGGAGGGCACACGTGAGTCCCCGCGCTCCCTCGCAGCGGGCCCACGAGACAGAGGCAGGCAAGGGGCAGGGTGACAGACTCGGTCCCACGAGACAGAGGCAGGCAAGGGGCAGGGTGACAGACTCGGTCCCACCACGGGGAAGCAGGAGGAAGGGAGGGCACACGTGAGTCCCCGCGCTCCCTCGCAGCCCTGCTTTGAATGACACTTATGGAGATGGACACCGGCGAGGCAGGGTGGGCTGCAGCACCCAAGCAACCTCCCAAGAGTCTCACCTGGTGGCTGCAATGAAGAGCCCAGAGGTTCCTCTCCCAGAGAAGAGACCTGAAGAGAACGAGATGCACTGATAAGGATGACTGAGCACTGCAGTCCTGGTACACCAGGAATCAGCCCTCTATTAGTTCCCCCATCCCTGCTCCCCAAGACATCCCCTGCCACCAAGCAAAGGGCTCAGAGCCCTGCAGTGACCGACCACTCTTCCAGCCTGGAGAAAGGCAGGCTGAGACCCCTGCACCCGCGTGTATTCCCCTGCACCCTGCACAGTGAATCCCTACTAGGATTGCATTCACAAACTCACCTCTTCAAGATAAGAAGCATCCGCAGGAGGCCGCAGCGGGAGCCAGCACGAGGTGCCGGGCATGCTGTAACTGGGAGCTGCAGGCACCTCTCTGCGGGGACTGCTGGGCAGGGGCTGGCAGTTCCTCTTCTGCAGGGAGCGATGCTGGGGTACCGGGACGGCTGGGCACCCGTTTGCCTGTGCTGAACCCGTCTGTCTGTGACACTGCAGGAACTTAACCAAAACAAACTCTAGATTTGATACCTGCCACGGAAAGCTGGGGAACACTGACTAGCTGCCCCCACACCTGTAAGCCAGCCCTGCTACGGACAGACTTAGGCAAACCAAGGTTTTCTGCCTGCCTTGTAAATTCTACTACGCTTCAATCCTGAAGGCCTTAGATGGGAAAAGAAGAATGACTCAATGACCCCCAGAGGTAGTGGCAGTTGGCCAGACCTGAAGGCAGCAGGATGAAACCTACTGGTAGCTCAGGGGGCGAGGAAGGACTGAGAGCAGCCAGGAAGAACTCTCCGAGGGAAGAGAGGACTTCAGCAGTATGGGAGATGCCAGCCACAGGCTCAGAAATAGTCTTTTGCCAAGAGATGCTCAAAACTAGAAACATAGCCTTTAATAGACACTCAGTTATCACAGTTGGAATTTTTGGGGGTGGATAAAGTGGTCTCCGTGTCTGACTCATCTCTAGTTTCTGTAGACTGGATCACATCTCAGTCTCTGCCTTTGTTTTGTGGTTTCTGGCTTTTCCTGGGATTGTTGTGACGCTGGCATCCAGTGATAAGACAGGGGAAACCTGTTCCCCTCTGACTCTGTCCCAGCTTGAAAAAATGAGAGAACTATGCTGTGCCCTGCCCCACCCCGAAATGCGGGCCTCCCTTTCCACATCCCCACTCAGCCAGCAGGAAAAGAAATGGCCCGAGGCACGATTTCTGGAGCCAAAAGCCTGTGTGCTGAGTCAGGGCCGTAACCAGCAGCAAAGGCGCAGGGTACCTCTTCCAGGAGGCTGGAGCCTGCCAGGCTGCGAGCGCTGGGGGAGCTGGGCGTATAGGGGTCAGCGTACAAGGGGGAGCGGGGCACGGGCGGCTTCTCCAGGGAGCTGGAAGCTGTCGAGGGCTGACTTCCCACCAAGCTCCATCTGTTCAGCTGGAAGGCAGAATGGAAACAGGAACATGACTCTTCCCTACTTGCGATTCATCCCCAGGAGAGATGGGAGTGGGGAATCCCCCTGCAATTAAAGTCCCAAACTGCTCAGCCTGAGGGATGGCGGGGCTGACTCCCAGCTGTAGCCGTCTGAGCTAACCAGGGGACTTCCCTGGGCGTAAGGCAGATGCACACTCATTGAGGGGAGGGAAACACGGCATCACACACTAAACCCTTCATGGACACATGCTGGAAAGCCCTCAGAAGAAAAGGCTGTGTCCTATGAAGTAATAACACTCCTACTTGCACTGGTGCTCGTGTTGCCTCAGGAATTAGTGCCCAGCATCTCAGGGCTCCGTTTGCCGTGTTTCACCTCACCTCCCGTGGGCCATTTTCAAACAGAAATGGGTTTCACGCCCACTTTAGAGCGCCCGCCAGGACAGCTATCGCTGCAAGCAGCACCGTAAGGAAAATGCGAACCACGCACCAGTTCCTCTGCTGCTCGACCCTTCCCCAGCAGGAGGGCAGCCCCACCGCGCCCCAGCCCCCTTACATCGCTCAGGTCCGGGTGCGGCGGGGGAGCCGCGGGGCGATGCTGCGAGCTGTGCGCGGCGTACGGCTCGTTGTACACCGAGGACAGGAGTTCGCCGTTGGGGTTTTCGGGAATGAGGCTGCAGATGGTCCTCTCCGTGTCCGGGTTGGGCAGCGGCTGGCCGCAAGGCCCGCATTTGCCCTTGGATTTTCTAGCGCTGCCCCCCCTCCGCAGGTCCTGAGCGGGCAGCCCCATGCTTGGCCAGTTGGCCTGTGCCAGGCACTAAAACGAGAAGACAGACCCCGGAGCGGGCTCTCCTCAGACCATCCCCAGATACGCAGACCCACCCGCAGCCGATGCAAGGCTCTCCCCTGCCAGGGCGGCTGCTGCTGCTGCGGGCATCGCCCCG